ATGTACTGAAGCAAAAGTCAACAGTAGTAATTTTCAATTAGTTGCAGAGAGATTTATTTTTAATACTTTAACAGACATTTCTAATGAATTTAAACCTAAAACTTTAAAGGACATGCAGTTAGATAAATCACAAAGAGGCTAAAAAAGAAAAGTGCTTGCAGGGGTTGAAATTGTCACTCAAATATTCCTGAGAGATGACACACTCGTCCCCTAAACTGAAAGTAAGATATTACAATGAAAACAAACGGCAAAATTTATAAAATGTACAATTTATAAAATAATTTATTCAGTTATAAAATATTTAATTTTTCCGACTACATTTTCACTTCATTTATTAATTTATAAAATACTTATCAATCTTAATTACTAACACATACATGTGTGTGTTATAGAAAAAAAAATGAAAAACAAAAAAACATTATGCATAGTAACAAGATTTGTTTAGAAACAATTATACAATTTATAAATGTCTTGGTATAATGCATTATTCAATTTTGTAAATGTTTTTTTTTTTTTTTTTTTTTTCATGCCATACTCAAAGATTCAGAGCATTGTATCCAGTTTAAGTTTTATAATGAAGTGGAAATATTCTTTTCCTTGGATCATATCCAGGATTTTTTTTTTTCTAAATGTCTGAAATTCTAGAAAAGTAGATATAGTCAAATTTAACAATATTACCAGTGACAATTTGTGCAGGAGTGCAAATGTTAAATTCTTCAAATCGGGAGTGGGGAGAAAATAAGCAAAGAGAATCAAAATGCAGAGCTCAGATGGTGAGGGGGCAACTTTTTTAGCAGCAAAGAGACAGAAAGCAACAAAGATTTGAGCATAGCAAGGACTGGTTCCAGGTGTGCTAAATGACAATAGTATTCATGCAATTAGAAAGTTTGTCATCAACGCATTAAGGATATGACAAACCTAAACTTGTTTTTTTCTATGGAAATGAGATTTTTCATTTGTGTTTGATAATAAGAGTGCTTATAGATATGACAAGCATTTCCTCCTCCTAACCTTAGGGGAAATAAAAAAAAAAAAAAAAAAGACTTCATTTGTGTAATATCCAAATCTAAATGTGGGGGTGGGGGGGGGAAATAGAATTCAGAAGACCATTTGAAATAAAAGTGAGGGGTAGGTGTTTATTATAAATTAATCAGGCACAGAGCAATGTTATTGTCTCAAGAAACAAACCAGTGGTGTCATATTTTGTCATCATTAGTTCATTTTCTCTATATACAAAAAGAGAAAAGATTTATTAATGCAAAAGATATAAAAATATAGTGTTAAGGCATTTGGGGGTTGAAAAATGTTTCAAGGAATTCATTGTTTTCAATATTCAAAGAACTTTTCCATAAAGTAGTTAGCACATAACCTGCCATTTTTCATAGATTGGAAAGATAGCTATTGTAACATTTGAATCCAAAAAAACTAATGTTGCCTAATATAGGCTGTTTAAAAATGACCTATTCTTTATTGGGTGCTACTTAAGTATATGATCTACATGTAAGATTTTTAAATATGTGACCTACATTAAAAGAAAATTATCTACATGTGTCATTTTGGTAGATCATCGTCAGAAGGTAGATCACATACTTAGTAGCACCCTAAATTGTATTATTACAAGGAGTGTGAAAACAAGAAAAAAAATTCTTGAAGGAAGGGACAAAAAACTATTCTCATGAGCAAAGACTTCACATTGTATAACATCTACATTGTATGTATGTATGTAAAAGTTTATAGAATTTACTTTTTTTTTTTTTTTTTTTGATTCAAAACATTTTGCATATTTTAGTTGTAACATTGAAAAATAAGAATGTTAGGCAGTTTTGCACATGCCAAATAAATTAACCTCTTTGAAATAAAGAGTTCCCCCTTTGATGTAAAAGGGAAACTCCAGAGATATTGAGAAAAGTTTAACTTGAAAAATTCCTAAGTTGCTTAAGCTGCAATTTCTCTATGCCATAACTAAACAACTTCATAGAATATAAAAAAAGGTTGTTTAGTTGTAATACAGATAAATGGCCGTTTATGCAACTTAAACTTTCATTTGTCACATTCAATAAACATCTGAAGCTATTGAGCAATAGTTTACTTTCACTACCACAAAATTATGAGAAGGAAATTAAAAAAATACTAATGAGAATTTACAGCACTTCAGTTACAGAACTTAAGATCCATTTGATAAAATTCAATTGATCAGCTTAACTACATTTCAGAGTTTTATTCATCAAATTAGATGAATGTCAAATTTGATGTGCCTTAAAAAATATTTGTGAATTACAAAAAAAAAAAAAAAATATATATATATATATATATATATATATATATATATATTTTTTTTTTTAACATGTGTTGGCAATGTCTTCTATTATCAAGAAAAACATTTGTTAAATAAGTATTTCTTGATAATAGAAGACATTGCCAACATATTTCATGCTGTTAAAAAAAAAAAAAAAAAAAAAAAAAAAACTGAGAAAATGTAAAATTCCACTAATGCAGGTTTTCTTTTACAAATAATTCATCAATAAGTTTTTTGTAATCATTGTCTATTTTTATTTCACTCTTCCAATATTTTTGTTTCGAAAACTGTCACAATACTGCCTAAGATTAAAATATAAAAGTTATGAAATTACTAAAAGCCAAAACTGTCAAAAGCCATCAAAGGCTTATGAATAATGAATGTTTTTGTTCCTACCACCCTAATCATCCTGTTTATATCTATGCTAAGTGACATTGGAAACAATAAGTGGGAAGATCTTTACAATACACACAGTATCTTGATAAAATAAAAAAAAATAAAAGGCATAGAGAATCAATGCTTTTCTTAACATCCTAAACATACATATATTTATATGAGAGAGAGGGGAGGCATCAGCGTGCAAAGGTTATAAATAAATGTAATTTTGAGAATAAAGTCAGAAAGAGAAGGAAATTAGTATTAAAAAAAAAAAAAAAAAAAAAATCAAACTGCTCATATGTCATGAACCCCTGGCTAAAGCCAGATTTTCTATCAGCATTTTATGTGATTACAAAGGACCACTAAATATTTCCTTGAAGTGATTAAACATTTTTTACCAATTTTCACAAATTAGGCTGTATATTCACATTGACAAAAAAAAAATTTTCATGTGACACATTTTGAAATGACTTCTGATGAAGAAAAAAAAATGTACTGCTAAAACATAGTAATACTAGTGATCATCTGCTGAATTAAATAGATGTCATTAACCTGCTAAATTCTAGAGAAAGAAAAAAATCTATATTAGAAAATAGGCAAAGATGCCAAGGATCTGGTAAAGACTAGATTTTTATTTTAATTTTCAGAGTTTAATGCTTTTGCTTAAAAATTTAACAATTCTGGCATAATGATTATAAAATTGCTATTATTTCTTTTAGTAAGAAAAAAAAAAAAAAAAAAAAAAAAAAAAAAATTGTGACCTACTGGAAAATTTGTGAGTGAAAAAGAAAGCTAATGAACCAAATGACATAATTGCTCATTTTATTGATAAACAACCAATCCTGTTAAGCCTCCATGACCTGTATCACAAATTTTGGCAAATTATTATAAATAAATAAAAAAAAAAAAAAAAAAAAAAAAAAAAAAGAAAGAACCCTTTAATCTGCTTGTTGGGAAATATTAACAGAGAAATGAAGTCATTAAATTCTACAAAGTGAAGAGTAATTTGGTTTGCAGAATATCAAAACTTTTATGATAAAAAAAAAAAAAAATCTGGTGTTAGTAGAAAAGTCACCCAACAAAAGACAATTATTGAAACATTAAAAACCTGAGAGATTATACAGAATTGGATATTTTGATACAAATTTTAGATACATTGTCCGTTTGCATTGAAAGATATGTTGCAGCACCAAAAGATAAGGTGCATTTTTAAGCTCTCATGAGAAAACATTCAAACTTTTTCAAAAAAGTATTTGAATACTAGAAAAAGTCAATTTACTTACGCAAGTAAGTCTTAATAACTGGAAAGAGTAATTTGTTTGCATTCAGGATTTACAATAATATGGCTTCATGTAGATTAGAGCATTTTCTAAAAAGAATCAGCATTTAACAATATGTGTGTGTGTGTGTATATGAGAGAGAGAGAGAGAGTATTTTTAGGGTAAACAATGAAAGCCCTTTGCATAATTTTAATGGAGAAAAAAAAAAAAAAAAAAAAAAAAAAAAAAAAAAACTCTAGTAAGCCACTTAAAAATGTTGATCAAACAAGAGAAAAAAAATTTTAAACCCCAAATTTATTATGTTAATATTAAAAAAGAACTGTACTTCAGTTACCTCCCTATTAAATCCAAGGCTAGTACACAGGCCTTATTGTGGGGGAAAAATAAAACTTGTTGCCATCAACCAAAAACTGTCAAATAAACTTTCAATTAAAAATAAAAAAATAAAAAAATAAATAAAAAAAATAATTTTATATCCGAATCACTTTTTAAAAGTATATATCTCCTTAATTCTACTGTTGTATAATAAGTTTCCTTTAAAACTTAACATCGTGCGGAAACATTTCCAGATAAGATTTCTATTAAAACATCTGAATTGTAATTGTTGGCTACTTTCTGCCAGTTTTCTAATTGATCCATATTATATATATATATATATATATATATATATATATATATATATATATATATATATATATATATATATTAGTTGCCAAAAATGTAAAAGACAAAAATCACAAAAAGAAGCCTGCCTCATGTAAGGTAACATTTCTGCTATATTGGTAATCTACTAAAATCTAAAAGAACTGTTTACTACAATTTATCATTTCTGCATTGATGGAAATTCCCAATTCAGGTCTGTAAACAAGACAAGAGCCTTGAAATTAATGTGGAAGTTAGAGAAGCCAGCCATATAAATGCCAAAACTGACCAGTTTTTTTTTTTTTTTGGTCCCATTTTCTCAAGAGAGATCTAAATTGAGCAATGAAATGGTCAACATACCTAATTGCACATTCGCCCATTCCTACAGAAATAAGAGCACTTACCAGTGGATCATGGCGCTGGCTCTTAAAGACAGGAAAAAACAATAGATTAGATTTTAAAATATTCACAAAGTAACAGATTGCAACAGCCAAGAAACAGAAGTCCCTAAGCTAACAGCTACAAGCATAGAAGAATTTGGAACAGTTGAGTTTTAGAATATGCAAGAAAATACATCATTTCAGAATCATTAGCGGACAATTTTGTTTACATGAGCCACGCTATAATCTTTAACGGTTTTGTGTTTTGATACCAAATAATTTTAAGGGAATTTTTTTTTTTTTTTGTTAACAATTTATTTGTCCAGACAAAGTGAAACAATTACTAGAAGAAAAAAAAAAAATACAGACACCTCAACTACAGATCTTATTTCATTTCAATAATTTTTTTTTTTTTTTTGAGAAAAAACTAAGATATTCAATTGTCTGACAATTCAAACTGTGTTTTCCAATGGATGAACAAAGTTATTGAAGCTTAATATCAAAAACAATGATAAAAAAGGTGCCTTCATCACTTAAGAGTTAATGGAAAAAAAAAGAGAAAAAGAAGCAAAAAACAATATTTGAAAAATTTCTCACATGAAAAATTAGAATTTAATTTTGAGATTTTTGACTAAAAATTGCAGTGAGAATTATATCTGAGCAACAAAGTGTTCACTTTAAACTGGATTTCCCTGTAGATGCCTCTAGAAGTGTAACATTTAAAAAGGCTAGTGTATTGTACATGCAACTAATCCTTAATTTAGTATAAAACTGCCAGTGCACATTTCCTATAAGAAGGATCTCAGTTGTGCAGGTTGGTAGACAAAATTTATATAGTTTAGAAAAGAAAAAACAAGAGCCAGTGCCTAGTCAAACATGGGTAGCCACAAAATAACATGTTGTATCCCTGATATTGACCACTTTAATCCATAAATATAACATACCACACACACATCTCCATCCACATTTCCTTTAACTTTAGTGTATGAAAAAGGAAATTAATTTATTACACTGATAAGTTATTTGTATTATTCAACCATGTGAGAAGATTTGATGAAATTTGAGGAGTTATTTTAACTTTTACAACAATCTGAAAACTCACTTTTACCTAATACTTCAAGTGCCAGCAATATATATTTTATCCCATGACCCATAGGGGCACCATGTGTACTGCAGTCACAGTAGAAGTGGTATCTCTAGGCCAAGAGAGCCTGATGAGCCCAACCCTTTCCAAGACGGTTTTGAATTCAGAGTTTTTCCTTCTCCTAGATTGGTTGCCATCCAAGGTTACAGAACCCAGTCTGTCCTGCTATTTACTCATAGCTGGAGGTGGGAGAAGAAGATTCATACCTTTCCCAAAGGTATTAGCACATAAGTGAATATAATGGATTCAGCTGGAATTCAAACTCTGCTCTCAAATTCTTCAATCCAAGCCATTATCCATTACTCTACTGTGCCTCATATATATATATATATATATATATATATATGTGTGTGGAGTTTTGGAGACTTTTTTTAATCTGAAATTATTGTAATTAAGAAAAAGCTTTGAATATTTACAATATTTTATTTTATGATCTGCTTGTTTGTAAAGACAAAAAAATAAATAAAAATAATTCAAAATTGCTTTTGAAAATATTTTTACTATTTACAAGTTATTTTTTTATTTGATAATCTAGACAAAGTTAAATCTTGAGAGCATCTGCTGAAAATTGTTTAATCTCTACAAGATTCATTTAAAGAACCAGCAGCATCAATATGAAGCAATCAGAAAATGCTATCTGTAAGAACGGAACCAAATTAACAAGAGACTTTATAGAAATCCTGTGTTCTGTTCTAACAGAATTAATTATTTAGACTGCTTAGACGACCTCAAAATTTCATTGAGCAAATCTGACAAAATAAGTAAGAATAAAAGATAAAAACCCCGAAGCCTGCCGATATACAATTCCTAATCAAATAAAAGCTTTTCTTAGAGGAAATAATGTCAAGGAAATTTCTGATTTCATACCTGATGCCACCCACAATGGTCTCACTAAAAAAACCTGAAATTTTAAATTGTAAATTCTGTAGAGTCTATGAAATGCAAAAAGACTTAAGAGGTGATAGCTAAGAAAATAAAAATACCCAGAAAAAATGCCAAACTTTGATAAATCAGTCGACTGTTACTGTGGTTTTAGTTAAAAAAAAAAAAAAAAAAAAAAAAAAAAAAAAAATCAGAAATTACTTTGTGAAAAGTGCCTGAAATAGCCAGAGAGAAAGAAAAGTCATATGGTGTTTGTTGAAACTAAGTCTACTTTTTCCAGTTTTTTTTTTTTTTATGTCAGGTTTTCAATTTCCAAATTAATTCAGGAAAATAAACTTCATAAAAACTACATCTTTTTTAAATTGATTATGTGTGACATTGAAAACAGTTACCTATATTTCTTGCATATTTGTTATTTGAAAATGACACTTTCTAATTTTTTTTTTTTACTTAAATGTTCTAGTATTCTATTAGTTTTTTTTGTTTTTAAATTCGTAAAAAAAAAAAAAAAAAAAAAAAAAAAAAAGTTTGGTAAGATTTGAACTCTGTAATTCAATTACATGACCATATTCTTTAACAGAAATGAAACTTGTAACAAACATTTTTTTTTTTTTTTGAATGTGCAGAAAGCGAATTTCCCAAGTGTTCCAAAGTCATTCTTCACGTTTACTTAAAGCGCATTTCTTATTAATGCTTATATCCAACAAAATCTTGACTGGAATCCATATTTTCTCTGGACTAAAGACTTTGTTGGATATAAGCATTAATAAGAAATGCATTGTAATGTGGTTGTTTCATGTGAGCCATTTCATTGCAAACAGCTTTGAAACTGTTTTCTTAGGTGTTTTAAGAGTGCAGAAAACATCAAACTGTCAAATGTAAATGTCAAAAGTAAAAATATTTAAGTAATCGAGTAGTCGTCTTTTTGCACTGTCGCCACCCACAACAAAAAGAAAAAAAAAAAAAGAAAAAAAAAAAAGGTAACTAAAGACTAAAATATTTCCCAAGCTAATGAAATGGGGGGTGGGGAATATTTCTAATTTGGGGTTATACTAACTTTACAGCTACAATCAGACAGGAAAGTATCTTAAAATCCTTGTTTCAGTGATTCTGTACATGTTGCTGCGATTTAATTCTTCAACAATCAAAAGTTGAAAGACTAAAAGTTTCTAACTATTCTTAAAAGTCACATAATAAAAAGTTCTTTACTTTTCGTATTCTTCTTTCTTCAGCCCGTCGCTTTTTCAACCGTTGTCGGTCACGTTCAAAGTCCTCCACCATCTCAATGCATGGAAGAAGGTTCTCTCTTGGCTCCCATGTATCATTCGAGGCAGGATATCCCACCCAACGGACTTTGTAACGTTCCTTGCCCTATAAAATAAAAAAAAAAAAAAAAAAGAAAAAGAAAATTTAATATTTTAACTAAAACAAATTTTGAATGATGACAAAAATCAAGATCAAAGAATGTATAAAAATAAAAAGCAGAAAAGATTTGAAAATTTAAAAAAAAAATGGATGAAGCATGTGGGATAATCAAACTTCAATATTTTTTAACTTACATTTTAGAAACTTAAAATATAAAAATTTATTTTTTTTTTTTTTTTAAAGTACAACGGATGTAGAAAGGAAGAAGTGTTATTTAAAGTTTAGGAAGTACCAATTTTAAAATTTAGACTTTGTTAAAACACTGAAAGAAAGATTTTTACCAAAATGTTATCTTTAATGTTGAGGACAAAGGAAGCAGACTATAAAGTATTTATCATTAGCATTTTATTAACTGATGCTTAGTATTTTAGCTATACAATGGTTAGGCTACAATTACTAGAGAATACAGTAGTAGGTACTATTTTATAAACTGCATTAAATGTACGAGTAATTTCTCACATGATATTTAGCAAAAACTTTTATCTTGACTTTACCAGATGCAAGTTATCACCAAATCTGAGCTTTTAAAAACAATTCTTAGAGTTTATAAACAACTATCCCCCCACCATACTAATGCATAATGTTTGCACTTAAAAATTTAAAAACTTCTTGATATTAAAAATACATATACACATTAATCAAGAGGAAAGCATAGCTAAGATATATTGACTTATATTTTTTGAAAAGATGAAAGGGGTGTTGAGAAGTTTATTGGATCAGCCTATTTGCCAAAACCTAGCCAAACATCAGAATTTGTTGGGGAATCCTTTCATGGTGAACTTTTTAGCACCCTCTCATAAGCTGTAACTTTAGATAATTAATGTCTTTTCCAACAATACTGGTTTAGTGAAGTGGTACCAGCTTACTGTTAAGCAATATTAAATTATTCATCATGAAAAGGAGAGCCTTAAATTTTCAAGGAAATTAAATTTAAATGGTAAAAAGATTATTCAAGCATTTAATCTTCTGTTGGGTACATGGCTAAATATTAAGAGTTTTTTTTTTCAATGTAAAACTATTTAGACAATATATAGATTGATAGTGATCATTTATTAAATAAGAAAATTGAACTATATCCAGTAACTAAATAAAAACAGAAGAGACACACGAGAGAAAACTTTTATAAAAAAGTTGGTAAATTATGATATTTAATCACAATTTGTCATTTTAATGTTAACTTCCATGAATTTGGACTAAAATTCTTCCTTATGCTCAAAATACCAAAATCTGAGAAGTGAAAGAATAAAGGAAATATAAAATAGCTCAATATTTAGCTTAAGAATATGAAAATTTCACTTTTAACAGTTGAAAAACAATTTCACTTATAAGAGCTATATCTCAGGTATAACACTTTTTGTCCCTCAATAATCTGATTGGAAATGTTGCTGTATTTTACAAATAAAGATATCTTACATACAGGCTTGAAAAATTAGCAAAAACCTCACACACACAAATTCAAGATAATAGAATAGTTGCTAAAAATGCTATGTGCATATACAGAAATAATAAAACTACCTATAGAAGAATCATAAAAATATATCTTATTTACTTACATAACACAAAAAACGCATTTTAAACTTAGGAAGGATGGAGGCATATAAAGTTTATGTATGCATATAAGACTTGACAATTCCCAAACTTATTTTAGAGACCGAGTTTAATAAATTTAGTACAAGACAGCATTTAAATATTGCAAAATGTAATTGCTACTGTAATGCACTGCTCTTTCAACTTGCTGTAATTAATTGCATATTTAGCCATCTGGTATCGTTTAGTTTTTACAAAGCTATAAAAACAGAGTTATTTCCCCTGTTAAAACAAAGCATTTTTAATGTAGGTTTGAAACAAATTTTAATTTCATTGTCTTTCAGTCTTAAACTAAACTTAGAAAAATAGTTTTCTTTTTCAAAGTTAACTCAACTGAAAACAGCCATAATGAAGAGAATGGCCTCAAGATAAAAAAATTGAATCTATTTTAAAAATATCTAAATAAAAGTAGATATAAAGAGATTCTAAACTTTAAATGGAACTCAAACTATAGTTTTGAATCAAATCAAGGATGTGCCAAAAGTCTTGCTTTTCCTTTACATAAATTCATCAAGTATAAAACTGATAAAGGCTTTAGGCATCAAGTTTTTTTTTTTTGAATCAACAAGGTATTTTTTATCTTCATTATCTGCCTAAAAATATTCAATAAAATAAGAGGCAGCTAACTTATTTTGAGCTGTTGAGTAATTTTATAAGATTCATTTATTTTATTTGCGTGCCTTTGATTGGTAGAAAAAAAAAGTTACTGAATCATATATATATATATATATATATATATATATATATATATAAACACACACAAATATACAGAACTCTAAGTAGGTATAAAATTAAGATTTTTATTTAAAAGCAGCACAAAATGAAAAGTGATAACAGAAGACAATTTCATGAAAATTTGTACATTAATAAACTAGGGTCACATAAGGTATGGTTTAATAAAAACCTTAACTCCATGTGCTTATAATTAAATAAAATGTAAAACATCTGCATTTCAAATTCTGACATATGTTAGAAAAATCAGCTTCAAAATAGCAATTAAAAGTTAATCAGATGCTTGTCTTTTAATTAGTCTCAAAGTTTTCTAGAAGTGTAAACCAGATTAATTAATGCAAGTGATTAAGCTATGCAAATCAAAGTGTACTTTTAGAAGTTTTTTGAAAATGATTTGTGATAAAAAGGCAGAAACTAGATGATTTATGCATTATAAAAATTTGATTAGAATCCATAGTTAAAAAAAAAAAAAAAAAAAAAAACACTTTAGAGAACAAATTCTTAAAATTCAAAAATTCAGGTAAAAATATCAAAGCAGAAACTTACTTATGGCACTCATTACTTAAATGTTGCTTTTTTAAAATAACTATCAAGCTAAATTAATCCTCATAGCCAATAATATGAGATGGGCATCTAATTCTTTTTATAGACTGTATTAAAGACTTACAAACTATTTTAAGTTAAATAGATTAGACCTATTTTGTAGGTTATAAAAATTACCTCAGTGTAGTGTAACACTGTCAGAAGCCATCTCAAAATCATTTGCTCTATGGCTAAGAAAATGACTTGGAGATGTGACACCTAGTAAAAAAGGAACAATTTTAACATCTACAGTATAAACAAATACTGAACACATTGGGAATGTGTTTACATAGCATGTCATAAAGCTAAAGCCCAACTGCTAAAAAGACAACTCAAAATGTTTTCCTAAAAAAAAAAAAAAAAAAAAAAAAATGACAGATTTATATTTAACAAGCAAAGTGGCATGTCAAATTGACTAAGAAAAAAAATTGGAAAAGGTTACAAAACTGGCAAAGAGTTATTTGAAAAATAGGACAAGTGAAACCATTCTATTACTTTCAGAGAAATTGTTAGGAAGAAAAAAAAAAAAAAAAAAAATCCTAGGCAATTTGACAAGTTAAAATTTTGGAAAGCAATCAGCAAATTCTAGAAATACATTTTAAGAAAGATTCAAGACATGTTACTTTTACATCTTGTTAATGTGTTCATAATTAACTGGAACGCAAAAAAATTACAATCCTATCAAATTGAGCTGACTATGGTAATTTTGAAGAGTTTTTCAACCTAAATTGGTTAATGCCAATAATTTGGACAATAATAATTGACATGGCATTAATACAACCAACAAAATGGAATTGTCTATTATCATTTAAATGTTTCCATAACTTTAGAATATTGTATAAAGCTTATGAAGCAGAACACTTACTGCCAGACTCCTTAAACTATATATTCTCTTATGTACATAAAAAGCATGTTCATCACAGCTGAGGAGGAGTTACATATCCTATTCAATTGAAAGAATTGAATTTTCATAAAGCTGGAATCCATCACTGAAGACATTTTTCATTTGCCAGTGAAGCCGAGGTAATATTTTTTGTTACTGGCGATAAAGCCCAGGACATCAAATGGTCATTTTTCAAGCCAAGTAAACTCTCAATGCAAGGAAGAATGATGTAACACAATCTTCCCTAATATCCACTTCTCTTTGATCTTGTAACAGACTAAGTTTATTCTGAAGATTTTTCTATGCACACCAACCATTGAAGCCATGCATTTTAAGGGATGTGAGGGAGAGGAGACTTAGAACATTTCCTAAAATTTACTTCGAAAGATGTAAACAATAGTTTCTTATCTCACTTCAAATCTCATGAAAAGGGTTAATAATAGAAGGAAAAAAAGTAAAAGAAAAAAAGAAAAAGAGAAGCCCTCTTAATATTTTTTATTCACTTCAAAACTTGTAAATAACTTCTAACTCCAGGTATATAATATTCACTTTAAAACTATACAACAAAGACATGAAAATCCTGTTCTTGGATTTCCAAGATTTCTGTAGGAAATATATTGGTGTTCTTAAATACTGCTGTTAATTTAAAAAAAAAAAAAAAAAAAAAAAAAAAATCCAAATTTTTGAGAATATACCTTACACTTGAAATGTAAAAAAAAAAATTGATTTGTACAGCAAGTTTGCATTTTATTTGCTAGGTTAGGTTAGTTATAGTGTGTCTACACACACACACACATATATATTATATATATATATATATATATATATAAAAAAAAAGTGTGTGTGTATGTCACTTTCAGAAGCTAAAAACAATTTCAAAGTTTCAGAATTAAAATAATTTTCATTCATTTCTTTATGTTACCATGCATAGAAACCTTTCAGTAAAAGAATTTGTAACAGATCAGTGACCAAGTCATTTCACTGCTTTGAAATTTAAATTCACCCTTTATTCAATTATGAAAATTGGATCTTGACAGAGCCAGTGTCATAACATTTCTTCAGAAAAATGATGAGGTATTTCTGGAGTTTCAATAACCAGCTGACCTCATTCATTTGCTGCCAACTGATGTGGGTTTTTAGATCAAGGGATTCTGTAAACAGA